TACATTTGTCCTAGTTTTTAAAATTTTCTGCTTTCTGGTTAGAGGTTAATATGTTTTACTTTGTTATTCTTGTTAGCTTTGCTTGTTTTCTTTTTAATATTTTTCTGTCTAGGAAATCCACGATAGGGATAACTATAGAGACGACAACTGGATTAATGGTTCCTTGAGGGTATGAAAGCGGAAGCTTGGGGAGAAATGGGGAGCTAACAACGCTGAGTACAGCAATGAAGAAAATGTTCTAAAGCTGCTTGTGGTGAAGATTGTACAACCCTTCTTGACGTGACTGAACTAATGAATTGTATAAGTGAATGATCTTCCAATAAAACTGTTGAAAAAAAGTGGATTCAATGGAAAGTTTGGGCTTTGAATGAGAGGAATCAGCTGCGCCACACAAAGATGGGAGCCAACTACCCCATTTTGCATGTGTGTTGCTCCCCGGAGCCTTGTCAGTGATCCAATTTCCCACCCGAGGCTCCTGAAACTTCCAGGAGGAAAGCCTGTGGCAGGACTTTGGGAGAGCAGCACATTCAAAGCAGATGAGTCGGCTGCGATCTCTCTTCGTCGGGGCATAGATGCTTGATTCCTACTCAGGTCTAAACACCATGGGCAACAGATTTAGTTCCTCTGCAAGGCTTACACAGGTCTTCTTTATGACAGTGTTAGTTACGGAACTGTTTTCTACTAGCTCTAAGCCCTAGTAATATGTGAGTCCTCTGAATAACTAATGCTCACCCTTGTAGGCGCCAACCCTCCTTTGCTTTCACCGCTGTCACTGAAAACCCTTTTGATATTGATTCTATTACTCTGCTTCTGAAAGCATTACTTATACTGCTTCTAAGAACGCCGTGGCATCATGAAGATAATAAAGCAGTAATGCTGGGTATATTGCAGCATACGGAGATATGAAGGGGCTTCACGGTTCATGGAAAACTGAAATTAGAAGTGGAATTTTTCCATGAACTTCTTGGAGCTCCCTCGTCTACAGGGTAATTTGCTCAGTCCTGAATATTCTTACTGATTCCCTGTATCCTTTCCTTTGGATGAAGCTCTAACTTCAGCTGTGGTTCTTCTGAGTCAGACTTGCTGCCAGGTTTTACCACCACCATCTGGATTTCCAGGGGCAGGGGGGGCAGTGGTTAAGTGGTCAACTGCTGGCCAAAAGATCAGGAGTTCAAACCAGCAACTCCACAGAACAAAGATGG